GCCCTTTCCCTTTACTCTCTCGAGTCTGCCCCTCGACGCCGCTTCGCGGCTCTTTGCTATAACCCTCTAGCAGACGACGCTCGCCGCCACTGACGCGCCAGTTTTCTGCGCTTTTTTTATCGTCTGCTTAGAGTAATTGCGAACCTTACTCGGAGTTGTTGTCATCATAATAAAAGAAGTAGTACTCACGCGTAATAAATCATAAAGGTGAAATAAACTATCAACATGCCTCTTACCGCGTCCCAGTCACCTTGCAGACGACAAGTTTAACCCATCGTTTGGTCACAGTGGCAGTTGTAGGTCGGTCTGTTTGCTTCAACGGCGATGTCATCCTGCTTTTTCATTGGTCACCATGCGCTGCTGTTGCTTTCTGTTCTGCACTTCTAGCCAGCGAAAGAAAGAAGCAGGTGTGTCCTTTCGCGAAAGTTCAATCAACACTGAGGTACGAGAACGATGGCTATGAGTTATCGCGAGGAAGAAGTGGATGCCGAATTCCACTTCAAATTACTCGGCTGTATGCAGCCTACATTTTGTGAAAATAGATTTTAGGGGAAATACCAAAGGACGCATGCTAAAGCCCGATGCTGCGCCAAGTGCCTTTTTGCATTAGCCATCCTAAATGAGGAAGGAGCCGCAAAAGGTGAGAAGCGGAGCAGCACTCGAAAAAGAAAGTGTGATTCCTCAATGTACACGTTGGCAAGACTGCCAAGTCAGGAAATCAATAAGCACCCTGCCCCGGCGCCAGAAGTGCGCGCGAACACGCTTGACGGAGCCACAGGGCCCAGTAGCCAGCAACAGCCAGAAAGTGTTGCTGTAAGCGACATCCAAGACTCTTCTTTCGTAGCAGCAGCAAGTCACTACTGTCATTTCACAAACTTCCTTCAGCCAAATTATGTGAAGCCAGCGAAAGTCGGTGCAGGTGCACGTGCCTTAAAGACGTTTGTTTTCAAGCCGACAGCAGAAGCTCCACAACAGCCTTCTTCAAAGGAAAAAATGACGCGGCAAAGACAGGGCATGGGAGCAACGAAATAAAATGCTGCAGGCAACAGTAGATGCCTACAAAAAAGAACTGCATTGAAGGAAGGAAGAGTGCAACGTGAGCAAATTTCTTCAAGTAGCCAGAGACTGCGATAAGGGCTGCACTAAAGCCAGAATTATAATGGACCAAGTCCTAAACTACAAGGTGAAAAACCAAAGTGGTTTGAAACTACTATGCGACAGTGCGTGATTCTGAAAAGCCTATCAACAAAGTCATACGACTATATCAGGACCAAGGTCCTCGCACTCCCGTGCAGAACTACTCTACAAAGGTACATCAAAAAAAATGTCGAAGAAGTAGGTTTCAGTAAGCTAGTGAAGCAGAGACTCAACACTAAAATAAAGTACATCGGGATGGAGCAAGCCAAAATTGGCACCCTCTTCATAGACGAAATGAGAATAAAGCAAAGGCTTGAGTACCGCAAACAATGAGACGCCTTCTTGGGAGACATAAACGTTGGCGCACTCAACCTAGTGTTGTCAGACTCAGAAAGAAGCGAACTTGCGAACTCCCTTTTAAGCTTTTTGACCTGTGGCCTTCACGCTAGGTTGCCGATCCCAGTGAGATACTTCTTTACCAGATCATGCACTGGTGAACTTCTTGCAGAAATGACCAAGCACGCCATAAAAGAAACGGAAGAAATGGGATTCGAGATAGTTTGAGTTGTGCCGGACAACCACAAAATAAACGTCGCTGCAATGAATATATTGGCAAGCGGGCAGCCCAAAATGCGAGTGGTTCGCCCTGCTGACCCAAGCCGCAGTTTGTTTCGGGCGTTCGATCAGAGTCACTTTCTCAAAAACATCCGATCGCAATTTCTGGCACGAGAAATGGGTAAAAAATGGCGAAATTTCTTCAACCTACAGAAAGGACCTTTACATGTTGCAGCGGGGCTCGATTATCAAGCCGGTTCATTTTCTCACGAGGAAACACGTCTATCTGCCTGATTTCAAAAAAATTGGTAGTCAAGCCGGCCATCCAGTTGTTTTCACCAGCCATGACAGCGGCTTTATCCTTCACGAAAGGTCATGCCGGGCACACTTGAGACTCAAAGTTTGCCAGCATCAGCCCAACTGTTGAGTTCATAGTTAATGTGAGCAGACGGTTTACTCCCATGGACGTCGGCAGCTGCCAGCAGCATATTCACCAGAGCCATTGGACACCAGGCAGTTTGATGATCCTGAGGACTTCAGAATTCTTTGACTGGAACTCCGTTTTTTAGAATACATTGAAGAGCTCAAGATGGCAAGTGCACCAATGATCGTTTTAACGAAAGAAACTCGCTATGCACTGATATTCACCACAGTCGCCCACATCCAGTGTATCAGATTTCCGTTAGAAAGAGGTTTCACATTTGTGTTGACTAGAAAGTTTCCAAGCGACCCTATGGAATCCCTGTTTGGGACGCTTCGACGCAGCACTGGCTGCAATGATATGCTTGATGTCAGAAGCGCTTTTTTGGGCCTTGAGGAGATGCTGAAGACGGGCATCGTTGGGGCTTCCCACACAAGCAATGTGCAGAGCTCAGCTTCGTTCGTTTCCTCAGGGAGCATTATTAGGAGCGGCGAGTCAAGCAGCACATCAACAACAAGCGCGGTTGCAGCAGTGAGCTCCGCACTTCGACGAAGCCGTTCACGCCCACGCCAGATTGAGCAGCATTTTCTCTCATCGCAGGATACATATCTCGCGTCGTGAGTGAAAAGACTGACAGCGAGCGCTGTGTGTCATTAGACTTAAAGGCAAAAGGGAGCAGCACTATCGTGCTACGGACGGCTTGATTTCCCACCAGGAGAGAGGTGGATTGTGCTACCCCACTGCGGAGTTCGTGCGTGTGCTGCATGCCCTGAAAAGATTTGTGGACGTGATGCTTCTGCACCGCGCAGCTCTACTTAAGCCTCTACAGACGTGCGTTGCGAAGAGTGCGGATGTAATTGTTGGCGTGCCAGTACTGCTGTGGGACTGTTGTGACCAAATACAAAGGTGCAAACTAATAGAACGTTTGTGCAGAAAGTTCATGAAGCCGCTGTTCACCAACTATGCTGTTGATTACCCCAATAAAAAATCTGTGGCCAGGCATTATCAAAGGAAACCGTTGTCACGGAAGTTTTTGAAGCTTTAAAAAACTTGCACGACACACGCGCCCCTTCAACCTTGGACTGTCAAGTGGTTTCAGTTCAACCGGTTATTTCTTAACTTTTACTGACTCATTTCTTTTTATCTTTGTCTTTCGGGCATATAAAATTTTTATGTCTCGTTTCATTATTTCAACCTCTGAATTCCACTCATATTTTGATCAGGATCGATATTCGGCAGAGCACTCCTTCGGGCGCTTGCAAACAAAGAATAAGACACATTACGACGCGTTTTTTTGCATGATACGTAACCAAAACAAACGGACGAATGTAAATAATGAATACGAAGGAAGGTAACTGCATAAAATTGGAAAACACCAGTGGCTGCGCCGCATCCACTTATAGCAGCCAAGCAATGAAAGGCCATGCGAAAGGGTAATAACCTGACGCCACCACGTGGTCACTCGGGAAAATAGAGCGCCAATCGTAGAGCGATGGGAACGGGCGCGACGCAACAGGCACAGAAAAAAATAGAGGAGGCGCCGGCCACAGTCAAGGCGGCAGTACATTTCGACATGACGCGGTGCGCGTGCTCACCAGCATTCATATCACCAGGTCACGCCGGCGTTGCAATGCCAGGCACCGGTCCTGCAGTATACTCGCAGGCACGCGCCGCACTGCGTTGCTTTGACGCATGCGCGTTTTAGCATGTCCGGCGTTCCTCCGCCACGAAAATAGGGGGACGCAGTGTTGTCTGGGTACGCATTAGCACGAATTGCAGCATCTCGCATTTCGCGCCGGTTGCCGCCGGGCCATGGCGAAGGGCGCTGGTCGCGCCAGCCACGCCTGGCGCCAGAGTATAGAGTGCTCGCGTTTTGCTAACATAGCGTCGCTTTGCCCAGCGTACGCACGCGTCAATGCTACATTGGAGTATATTGCGCCCTTTATATGCGCTCGCGGCCGTTTCTCTAGCTCCACATATACCAAATTTGGTGTTACGTGACGTCAATAGATGACGACGGCATATGACTGGTGCAAACATGATAATCCTGAGTTTGACGCCTGGGTGTGTGCGTGTGTGATTGATCGTGTCGTGTGTCCGCGCTCGAATCAACTTTTAGAAATGATAATCCTGACACGCATGTCATGTAAGAACATCACAACATACCACGCTCCTAGCGTGCTCGCGGTCGTTTCGCTAGCTCCACATGTACTAAATTTGGTACCACGTGACGTGAATAGATGACGAAGATAAACGACACATCTAAACATGATAATCATGACACGAAAAACATATACGGGCTCATTCCCCTTCACCTCATAACATTGTGCTGATTTTAAAGTGACATATCAACCTTTCTCATTCTTGCTTCGCATATCATCGATTCCCACTGTACGCGGGACCTGCCATTTTTTTAACCTCGGGCTCACTAGACAGGTTCGTAAACTTCAACTAAATCTGATGCTGTTCGCCGAAGAGGCTCGACGTTTGTGCTCTCAGTAGAAATATTCCCGCTGCTTCGCCAGTGAAATAATTATTGCCGAAGAGAATGAGTCCACGGCCAGCACCTTTAGTCTACGGCAAAGCAACGCGATCCGAAGCCAAAATTAAGAAACTTGAACGCAGTGCCAAGCGTAAGTACTGCATCGACTATGATAGGCGTAGCCAAGTTTCTTTTATCGACCAGTGTTGCCAGCACATGGGGTGTTTTCTGGAAGTGCGAATATTCGAGGAAACAAAGAGGCATTTATCCTACCGCATCGCTTAGGCTAGAAAACATTCAACTGATTTCTGTGAGCTGAAAATATAAAATTTAATATTATTTATATAATTTGCGGCATATGACAATTGGCGGTAAACTAGATTGTGTTTTACAAAAGGCTCTTACCATTGTTTTTGTAATACTGCACATCAAATACACCACACGAGTCGTCATTCGATTGGAATAACATTTTTTCCATTAGGTACGTAGAGCCTAAATGTTCAGGAAAAAGCAGGTGGTTAGAAAATGGTGTTGCCTTGGTGCAGTCCACGTGCGGTCTGTATGGGTAGTAATACAGATCAAATGTGGTTTGCCGCGGCAACTGCTAAGTAATGCTGATCACTAATAAGTGAAATGTTATATTAGCAGTAAGCGCACCCAAACATTACTTGATATTTCTATTGCAGTGCCTTTTTGCAGTAATTAAAATGCTGTGGTAGGAATAGCTGACCGTAAGTACTTTTCACATGTACACTAAGTCTTATGCATGCGCACATTATGAATATTTTCACTGAACTTCAATAAAAGTTCACATTTGAAGAATTGCCACTCTGTGTATGTCACGGCAAACGTCATGTGAATTTCACGCTTCAGTATTTCAAAGCCTAGCTGTAAAATGCCCACGGTGCTCAAAAGGCTTGTCTTTGGTTTTCCTAGTGTTGTACACTGTAAACAGAAATAAGCCTAGATCGGAGCAAAATACTCGTCTTTTAGCGCTTGCCCCAATGGGGGTTTTATAAACACCATTCGAAGGAAGGAAAAAATGACTCTCCAACAGGAGGGGGTGTAAGGATGGATTTGGAGAAGTTTTTATTTAAATTTATTGGGGAACTTCGTCAGGTCAGTATGAAAGCCAATCTTTGCATTCACAGAGAAACAAAAATCACGTCAGCAGCCGTACTATGCTCAAGCATAACCTTAATTACCTCCGCAGCGCACAATATTGATCCCACTACACAAAAATGCACACCACGTTCACGTAATATTACAACACACTACCACAGCTGGCCGCTCGTGCTGCACACCCACGCTTTAGTAGCCGGGTATATATAGGCACCATATTGTGACCTCCCGTGTAGCTTTGAATAGGTCCTTTTTTACTAATAAATTCGCAGTTAACACGTACGGCGTTGTTAAAATTTTACGTCGACCTAATGTGAGCCCTTCAACACACATGCTTTTTACCTTAAGCCCAACTAAAATTGATGCTTTTTTAACTGAAGCGAAATTATTTTATCATTTTGTGCTGTGTTGTACGGCTTGAATTTGCAATGTAGTACTGTGTGTGAATCCGTAAATGCACTGAGTCATACACAAAACCCGAGCGGCCATGCATGAACACTTCAACGACGCACATTGAGCAGCTCCAGTGTTGAGCCAAGATACACCGCCGTTACCGCATTGGACGACTATTCCTCACTCAGGAGTACGGCACGGTTATACAATAAATGACAGCTGGTGATCACAAAAGGCTTGCTGCTGTGCTGTTTTCGTCTCTTAATTTTCTCATGCACAGAAATAGGTGTCCGCTGTTCACACAGTTCAAGCTACGAAGGGATGAACTTAAATGAACAAGTCGGTTCCTAGTCATGGCTCCTGTGGCTCGCATGCAGTGCACGGGCATGTATGCCGTACGCCATTACTAGATGTCTTTGCCTCGTTCGGTGGTCCCCTTTGAGTTGGTAGTTTGACAGCTGCGGTCGCATGGCGCACGAGACTGTTATTCAATCAAGCAGCCTTTTTTGTGAAACACATTCTCTGCCTCGTCGGTGGTCAGTGCGAGATCGTAGAGCTGGTCACAGCAGCCGGCGCGCAGTGAGAGCTCGGTACGACGCCGGTTTGATAGCGTAGGGATAGCGAGGGCTTCTTAACCGCTTAGATGTTGCAGCCAGTGAAATACTAATTACACTCCGAGAAGCAGCCGTTGGGGTAGTTGGGGCCGTTATGTATAGTTTATAGCACCCCAACATTCGTTTAGGATTCATAAAAAGGCAAGGTAAGCCAGGCCTAGCGAGTCCTCCCTCTCTCGCATGGCAGTGAAGTCGTTTTTATTCACGGCTCTATGCCATTGCAACTTACGCTAACAGGGTCTATATGACCTCAACCAACATAAACTGGTGTCAGAAGTTTGAATTCAATCATCGCCCTGAACCATTAAGCATGCCCACCGCCTTCATTCAGCCACATCCACATTTCCAGCCAGGAGATGACCCGTCAACTGCATGGGAAGAATGGCGAGAAGCCTACACCATATACGAAGTAGCGTGCGGATGTGATACTTATACTAAGCCAGCGATAAAGGCACAGCTGCTTCACGTTCTTGCACCACAAGAACGGCGCATCGCACCGACTTTTGCCGTATACCCTGTCATCGAAAGGTAGTTTGAAGACATGTATTGCCCATACAACAACGTAATACAGGCCCTCTTCAATTCAAATGTTCAAAAATCAGACAGTTTATAGATCATTTTGTCACTGACCTTCATCGACAATCAGAAAAATGTTACTTGGTTGACAAGTGCGAGAGACGCATTGGCGACCGTGTAGTGGTTGACACAAGTGAATCGGCTCTCCGCGAACATCAATGGCTGGAGCACGACGTAACACTCGAGAAAATCATCTCTGCGTGCAAAGCAGCGGAAATTTTTAAGAGGCATGCACAGGAAATTGCAATGTGTGATCAAAAGCCGGAAGTAATTGTCATCCACGAGCAACAAAAAGGACGCTAAGCCAAAGCGTCACTTGACAAGTGCGGACAAGCCACCGCAGCCACATTGTTCATCTGAAAATCCTAATCGTAAGTGTTCCCGCGGTGGAACCTCGCATATCTCTTGACAGTGCCCAGCTTATGGCGAGCCTTACTACAAGTGCGGAAAACGGGGTCATTTCGTGCGTCTGTGCAAGCAGCCGCATCAGCAGCCAGTAGCGCGCAGAACGCAAATTAGGTTGCTTGACGAACATCCACAGCAAGACTCGCAGGAGGAATCGTACTTGAGCTGCTTGACTGTATGCAGTGTTTATGTCCACACAGGTAACTGCATCGAGACTGTCAGTGAGAATGGGCATAAAGTGACTTTCAAGTTAGACGCTGCGTTGGATGTCAACATAATTTCAAAACATAACTTCATTCAGTGGCCATGCAGACCAGCTTCCGATAGACTATGAATGTGAACTCACATGTGTATTAAACAACAAGGTGTGCCAACTCAGATTTATATTGGCGAAGGAACCACTAAAGCCAGTACTAGGGGCCACTGCATGTAGGGCTTTGGGATTGCTCTCTTGTGGGAAGATTCTTGATGCAGCAACGAACTCATCCAGGACTCTGTCTCAAAAGCATTACCAAAGAAAGCGGAATGAAATTCCAGATATCTTGACGGTATCAGCCAGCTGCCAGGACTGTATCGCATTCATCTTCGTGATTGTGCCGTCCCAACAGTTTCTGCTCCTCGCAGTATACAATGTGCAATAAGGAGCAAGGTGAAAAGGGAGCTCAAACGAATGAAGCAGAATGGCGTGATGGTCCCAGTGACTGAGCATAGCGGGTGGGGACACCCTATTGTGGTGGTAACAAAAAATGGAACTGTGCGTGTATGTCTGAATCCTCGCTACCTAAATGCAGTTCTTAAGAGGCACCACTAACCAATACCACGGCCGGAGGAGCTCCTTGCAAGCCTAATTGGTTCTACAGTGTTCTCCACTCTCGGTTTCAAAAGTGCATTCTGGCAACGGACCTTGGTTGAGGCAAAATAAATACTATGTACTTTTACAACACCCTAATGCAGATACCGTTTCCTTAGAGCACCCTTTGGGCTTGCCACAGCTACCGAGCTTTTTTAACAGGCCATTTAACAAGTGTTTTAAGGCCAAGTAATAGTGAAGTTACGTTTCAATGACATACTGGTCGCCTCTAGCACTCCTTCAGAACACATAGCCCACCTTCGAAGAGTACTGAAACTTGAAAGAAAGAACAATTTGAAGTGCAGCAAAGAAAAACTGAAGTCGAGACTTTCTGTCGTCACGTATCTGGAAAAACTCCACTAAGCACATCATGGCATTGTGGCTTGTGAGGCATTGGCCAGTTAGAGTGTCTATTGGCCTTCACTCAACAAGGACGTTGCCAACCTTGTCTCGAGCTATGATATGGGCCAATCAAACCAGAATTCTAACTCTCAACAACCTTTGCTTGACAGAAAGGTGCCAGTGCAACCATGGCAACAATTGGCCGTTGATTTCTTTAACTGTCAAGACAACACATGCATCTTCGTTGTTGACTACTTTTCAAAATGTGTTCAAGTGAACCGTATGAAAACGAAGACAGCATCCTCAGTTATTATGGTCCCAAAGGACGTTTTTTCACGCTTTGGAATCCCCGATGTGCTGATTTTAGACCAAGGACCACCATCTGACCCGGAAGCATTCAAGTTGTTTTTGCAACAATGAGATATTGTGCACAAACCGTCATCACCGCTTTATCTCAGGTTCAATGGGAAGGTGAAGTGAATAATACAGATAATCATGTCCATGCTGATCAAATCATGCAGCGATAGCAAGAATTTGTCTCTCGTTCTCTCAAAATTCCGAGTCACCCCAACTATTGCAGCACACTCCCCAGCTGAGGTGTTAATGTGCAGGAAATAAGGAACGTTTATACTAACATTACCGGAAAACTTGGCACCGCACTACTTCACTGAGTCATATCACAAACTGATCAAATGCCGACAGAAAGTGCAGCACAAGCATGGAGACAGTAGTACTTAATTCCTGCCGACATTGGAGATGCATCAAATAGTATGGGTATGACACAAAAACTCCTGACAAAAGGCAGTCATCACATGAGTGCGTCGCAAACCGAGACGTTACACTGTGCAGACCACAGAAGGAGCAATAGTTGTGCGTAACCGTGTTCATTCAAGGCTACGACTTCGAACCTTGAGTGATGCCACCTCCTCAAAAGAAAGCTACACGCTGGATGAGTGTGGACCACCCACTGAACCTTCACCAGTTCCAAGGGTTGGTGATCCTTCATCTGCCAGCCAGCCAGGGGAATGCAGCCAAAATGAAGTTATGTGACGCATACAGAAAGACACGTATGCCTACCGGTCAGATAACAGAACTGAAGGCTTGTTGTGTTGTTGCCTCTCACATTACCGCGTACAAAAAGCATGGTATGTATAGTTGCTAGCACCCTGACACCTGTTTAAAATTAATAA